TAATTCCTTGCTTCATAGATAAAGAAAATGAGGTCCAAAGAAGTTAGATAAATTATTTGAAGTCACCTGGAATGGAACCTAGATTCCTGATTTCTGTCTTACCATTATGTCACAATACTGTCCATATTTAGCTTTAAATTTCCAACATTAGCAACTATCTGACTCATCAATTTCTTCTAGGCAAAAGGACCCCTCAATGAACCCAAAAGGTCAGAATAACGCATACACAGACCCAAAAACCAAAATAACAATAATAATGATGGATTCAAATGCTAAGAGGCAGAGAGAGATGCAGGGTTTTTTTGCCTGCATTGTTTTAGAAAGATACCCTGGCAATCTGTCTCACTCTGATGCCATAAGTAACTGGGACTCCTCAAACATTTTAAGATAAATTTGCTGCATTTTTGTGGCTTGGAAGGAAGCATTATGGAGAGCACAATGGATTTGGAGTCAGAAGACCTGGGTTAAAAATTCTAGCTCTGTTATTTAATATTTGAATGACCTTGGAAAAGTCAGCCTCTTGGCATCTCAGATTCCTCTTATACAAAATGAAAGCATTGAATAAAATAATCTCAACAATCTCTTGCAGCTCTCTATCCAATGATTTTTTCTCCTTTTTGGAATATAATTCTTAAGTACCCTGATGTTTAGTATGGATATGGGTTTAATATGGATAATTGTATTAATAATGCAGGAACAAGCATGCTGTTGACAATCTATCTCCAAATGCCTCTCCCATTTGATTGTGAGTTCCTTTCAGATGGAGACTGTCTTTGTATCCCCAGTGTTTAACACAGTGTCTGTCACAGTAGGTACTTAATAAATGCTTATTGATTGACTGACTGACATAGAAAATTTAGGTTTCTAGCATATTCTCTACCTACCCCTTCTCACATGTTCTAACCTTGTGTACTCATTATTCTTGGGGGTTGGGGAGGAAGTGGGAAGTAAGAGTAGTTTACCTCAATTTTCTGAAATACCATGATGGGTGAAATGCAAATCATTAGCTTACTTAGATAACTATGCTGCCAACACTAAGAAATTCTTACTTGCTTGTTAAATCTGTCAGAAGCCTAAGACATTGTGCTGGGCTTAATTTTCAGACCAACTATCCTTTGGAGAAAAAACCAGCAGCAAGAAACTTGCAGCCATTAACCATGGTCATTGGTGCCTTCTGTTTTTTGATTTTGATTTTGATTATACCCTTCTTCTGACTATGATCAAATGAGATAATATTTGTAAAGTGCTCAGCACAGTGCCGGGCACATAGAAGGCACTATGTAAATGCTTATTTCTTTTCTTTCCTTCCTTCCTTCCTATGACCTAGGCAGAAATGCCTTACCGGCAGCAGTGGAAACCTTATGGCTTGTAGTGTGTGGGGATGAAGGCCCTCAGCATCAAGGGATGAGCTGGAGTATGCCCAGCCAGGTCAGTATCATAGCCCTCTGACATCTGGCTAAATCATAGCCACATCTGGCAGGCAGCGGCTATCACAGAATCTCTGTATCACAGCCTAGAATGGGCTGGAAAAAAAATTCTTTGCCCATTTAGAGCAACAGGAAGAAGAAAAATAAGAGAAAATATTATGCTGGGCCAGGCAAGCATGCATGTGTGTGTATGCATGTATTTTCTCCTTCTCTCCCCTCCTACTACACTTATATCCCCAACAATTCTGGAAGATCATCCTCTTGTGTTTATATATAGAAGCAGCTTTTGTATTCTCTATAATAAGAAAATAGGCAGTATGGTATCATGGGAAGACCACTGGACTTGGAATCAGGAGACCAGGAATTCTGGCTCAGCCTTTTACTAATATAATGTCAGACAAAGTACTTCATAGACCCGGTGGCATAATAATCAGCACTTTGAATCCAGCTGAGTTTGAATCTCAGTTGGACCTTTATTAAGGCAGGCAGTATAGAATAGTATGGATACAGTGATAGACTTAAGAGTTAGGAAGACTTCTCTTCAAATTCTGCCTCAGATACTTACTCGCTATGGCACTTTAATTTTCTATGCCTCAGTTTCCTTACCTCTAAAATTGATGAAGTAGGAATCCATGGCCTCTAAGGGATGTTCTGGCTCTAAATCTATAATCCTAGGATATCCCTCAACCTCAATCTCCTCATCTGTAAAAGAGGTGATGCTATCTCTCTATTTCTCACGCCAAGACTCTAAAAGGAGACACTCATTCAGATTCAGAAGCGTTCTCAATTTCCTTGGGCCCCTGAGCTCAGTACCTAAATGGTCAATGGGCTGTTTTAGCAGACATGCTGAGAGAAGCCTTGAAAAACAATCACAATTTATGACTTCAGTATCAAGTTAGGCAGCTGGATGGTTCACATATTTTAAGTTTACACATCTCTTGCTTGGTATATCTTACAGATTAACAAGTTTTAAAAAAGCTTTTCTGTTTAGAAGTGCTGGGGGTAAGTTTAAATTCCAAAATTAACATCAAGTCTCTCCACATACTGTGGATTAAAAACAAATTCCTCCCCCCCCAGTCTAAAAATACCACACAGTGGTTGACTCATGTCTCCACTGCGGTTAGCATAACCAGGTGGGTGTGAATCACTGATTAGGATGATGTAATTTGCTCTGTGTACCAGGAGAGAAGGGCAGCACAGAGCTTGCAATTGGCCCTTCCCAGGGTTATTTGCTTGGGAGTTACTTCAAGGTCAGTCAGTGTCCATTAGTAATCTCTTAACTACCCAGAATGCCAACTGGGCAAGTGGGAGTTCTACAAAAATTTTGCAGAGTGGATTGAGTGGCGGAATATTTAAATGAAGAATGTGAAAATTCAGTCAGCATCTGCTGGGTACTAAATAGTGTAGCTGGGTCAGATTTCCAGAAAATGGAACTAACCTCATATATATATATATATATATATATATATATATATATATATGTGTGTGTGTGTGTGTGTGTGTGTGTGTGTGTGTGTGTATATGCATACATGTGTATGTATGCATACATGTGGATATATACACACATATCTATCTATCTATTTTTTGTTTTTGCTTGGTGAGGCAGTGATATCTCCTGCCAGATTATTAGAGCAAAACTTGTAGAGGGTTAACCAATTCTCCCTTCTATCAGAAAGTCTATAGTACTCTCTTTTCCTATTGAGGGAAGGCTTAAAGGCTTTGCAAGACTAAAATCTTGGATTCTTCAATTTGGAAAAGACTTCTGAGTTCACTCAGTCCAACTCTCACTCTCATTTGAGATTTCCCTCTATGTCATCACTGACAGTTGGCTGTCCAGTCTCTGCTTAAAGACCTGTGACATTAGTCACAGAGCACTTACTACCTTATGAGGGGGCTGGTTCTATTTTTGGGTAGCTCTAATTGTTAATAAGATCTGCCTACCTATAATTTCTATCCATTGATCTTAGTTTAGGGGTTCTTAATGTGGGGTCTGTGAACTTTTAAAAAATTTGGTAATTATATTTCAGTGTAATTAGTTTCCTTTGTAACCGTATGTATTTTATTTTATGCATTAAAAAAATTAGAAGGAGCTAGGTGCCCCCTAAAGTGAATAAGAGTGTTGGACTTAATCAAGAAGAATTGAGTTCAAATCCTGCTTCTGATATTTACCAGCAGCAGTATGACCTTGTGTGGCCCTGTGTAACCTCTCTCAGTCTTGGGCTTAGTTTCCTCAACTGTAAAATGAGGATAATAAAAGCACCTCACTTACAACATTGTTGTGAGGATCAAATGAGGTATGTACAGTGCCTTGTAAACCTTAAATTGTCATATAAATGCTTATTATTACTATTATTATTATTATGAACAGTCCACAGATTTCACCACACTGATACAAAATATCTAAGACACAAAATAGTTTCAGAATTTTATACTAATTCTAACTCTCGGGGCTAGGCATCATACCTCATCCCCATTCTATACCACAGTCCTTCAAATATATGAAGAGAGCTCTCATGTCTTCCCTCTCTTTTCCAGATTTTACATCCCTCGTTACTTCAGCCAACATTAATATAACATTTTCTCCTCAAATCTGGGCACTGTCATGATCAACTCTGGATGTGCTCCAGCTTGTTAGTGTTGCTACCAATTGAACAAAATATTTCTAATGTAATCTGACTAATACAGAGCAGTTGGGGCAGAATATATCCATCAGTGCACCCTAAGCTTGCGTTAGGTCTTTTTCTTTTGACTGCCACATCACATTGTTTTCTCTTATCAAACTTGTATTCCACTAAAACCCCCGGTCTTTTTTCATTTCAAAAAGATATCTCTTCATTGATGCTGATAATTAATTGTGCATTAATTATATTTTACATAACTTATTAGAAAAATTTTGCTAAAGACTGGTTTTATGTATACTTTTTGGAGTCTTGTCTATGAGAATATACAATCATTTTAGGGACTTTATTTCTTCACTGGGTTTGGTGGGAGCAGTGGGAAGGTGGAACACCAGAATCAGACTTCCATGAAGGTAACCACCTTTGTTGGAATGTTTGACCCCCTCTTAGGACCTGCAGATACAATCCAGGAGTTACATGGAATAGGAGCTAAAAAGGACTCAATGTAGTTGCAAAAAGGATTGTTTTTCAGGGAGTCATAGTCTAGTGATTCCTAATCAAAAATGAATGGGCAAATATTGATCAATAGCCTTGCAAGGCACAGAGATACAAGTTATTGATCTTGTTACACACTGGGCCAGTCAGCTGCCTGTGAAGTAGGTAAGTAAGCAATGAGGGTGAATGACTATTCCCTTGCCCAGCATTGGTGCAGTGCTGGGCACAATCAGCATTCAATGGCTGAAATGCTTGAAATGAAGTGCTTATCTATGTGGTTTGCAAGGGAGGAAGTTTGTAAGACATACCAGGCATTTTAATTCTTTGCCTTTTCTTCTTAACAGAAAAAGTGGTTAGTAACCCGTGCTTGTGGTCCAGCAATGGGAGATAAGCAAGGCAGTGGGCAGGTTTTGGCTGATGCTGCCAAATGAGGGAGTAAGACAGAGAATAATAAACTTACCCTCACTCCCATGAACCTGTCCCTGAGAACGATCCATGACAGCAAGAATACAAAGGCTTTGTTGCAGCAGAACAACACGGAGACATCCGTGGTATTTATTTTCTTTATTGCATGTAAGTATAGGTAGTTTGTGAGTGTCCAAAGAACGCCAAAGGGAGCTGCCTTGGTGAAAAACACCTTCACTGTCAAGCCATTGTCTCCGAAAAATCGACAGCATTCCCTAAAACAATGGGAGAGAGGCAGAGAGTTATTACATGCCTAGATAGAGAGCCAACCCTCCTCTCTCTCCACTCCCATCTTCTTCTTTTCTATCTATAGGGCACCTTTCTTTGATGCCTTCTTCTTGAAGCTGGTTGACCTACTATGTCAGTCCTCAGCAAATTAACCCACTTGAGCAACTTGTTTATTTTTTTCTATTCACAGAAAGCCTCGAACAGGTAGTTTTAAACAGAAGTGAATCATATAATGTTGTGGCTGCAAGGGGACCTTAGAAATCATTTAGTTCAACTCCTTCTTATTTCTCCACGATGAAGCTGAGGGTGACTTGCCCAAGGTCACCTAGCTAGTGGCGGTAAGTGGCAGAATTGGGAACCAAAGCCAGATTTTGTGACTGTATCCAATGCACCTTCTAATACATTCCGCTGAATACCGGTATTATCTCAACTGATTGCCCAAGTCATAATAACAAGAACAACAATGACAACATTGACAACAAAAATGGTAATAAGAAATATTAACATAGTGCCTTAAAATTTATAAAGTGGTTTACATACATATTTTTGACAGGCTGTAGCAGATAGAGCACGGGGCTTGGAGTTAGGAAGACCTTAGTATAAATCTGACTTTAGATACTTACTAGCTGTGTGATCCTGGGCAAGTCACTTAATCTCTGCCTCAGTTTCCTCATCTGTAAAGTACGGATGGTAATAGCACCTATCTCTTAGGATTGTTGTGAGGATCAAGTGAGATAACATATGTAAAGTACTTTGCAAACTGTAAAAAGCTTTGTAAATGCTAGTTATTATTATTATTATTACTTTCTTACTTGAATCTCATAACTCTATGATATAAATGCTATTATTATTCCCGTTTTACTAAAGGTCAAATAATATGTCCAGGGCCACACAGATAGTAAGTATCTGAGGCTGGCAGTGATGGCAGATGTTCCTGACTCCAAGTTCAGTGTGCTATCAATTATTCCACTTCGTCTCTAATGGAGAGAGGTGAATGTAGCCAGAAATGCTGCTGCTTGCATAGTTAGCAAAGGGATATTTTGCATCTGATTCCTATTTGAAACCATATCTCTCTGGAGTGTCTGTCTCATTGAGGCTTGCCTTTGTGATTAGGTGGGGGTGAGTCTCATGAAATTCTATTACATTTGGTGAAATTCATGTGTGAGTTTTATTGTGATGTGGCTGCTCACATATTAGGGTCCATCAGTAAGGCGGAAGAAATTTCAGAGGATGCTTTTCCCTATGTCCATCACCATCATGACACAAGAGTTTGTGAAGAGTGAGTGGGGTATAGAAATAAATGCTATTGGAGTGAGATGTAAGGAAAGGGTGATGCAAGTGGGTGCTGGAATTCTGTTTTATAAGAATTATATAAGTTTGGGAAAGTGAAAACTAATTATGTCAGAAAGCAAACTCCCATGGCCAGGAAAAGGACTTTTACAAGAGGGCATGGTGATATTAGTTGTAATGAAAACTCAGGAGGGAGAGGCTTGGCCTGGAGAAAACTGCCTGCTGATTTGACTGCCTGTGGGAATACTAGGCTAAGGGTTTTTGATGGGAAGGGGAAGGAACACAAAGGCATGTTAGAATACTATGCTTGCCGGGATCAGTGGTACAGGATCACAAATGCTGATTGGAGGGCAGAAGTTCAGCCATATCATGCTGATCTACATGGCCAAGAGACAGCAAGAGCTAGCAGCCAAAGTGCTTTCCAAGACACTAAAATGAATTGTTATATCATGGAAGAACAGATAAAGGAAGAGGGCACAGGAGGAACCATTCCTAGAGCACATCAAACATACTCAGGGATTGAGTGTGGCTCATGATATTATGTAAGAATGTGGTAAAGGGGACAATGGAAACATGAGTCAAAACCAGAGCCTTGAGGAACTCGGTTGGTGTCAAACAAATCTTTATTTATAGCTGCCATCAATCTAAAATGCCATCTGCCTCCCTTTGTTACTCAGCTGTGGATAACTGACAATAGAAACACAAAATGCATTAAATTGAAGTGAGAAAGAGCAGAGGGTTTTGTTAAACTGTGCAGTGTGTGATACTCTTTAATCAATATTTACAGGTAGATTCCAGATTCTCAGCTTTTGCCTGATTGCTTTTATCTTCGCAGTCCTTCATCATTGGATAAAAAGCACTTTTACCACTATTAACTCATTCAATGCTTATGATGATCTTGTGGGATGCACAGGGTAGGTATTATCCCCATTTTACAGATGGAAAAAATGACTTTGATAGGCTAAATGACTTGTGGAAGCTAATACATGACAGAGTCAGGACTTCCACTCATCCAGTTTGGGGATATTTCCACTATACTATGCTTGAACTATTTGCAATGGCTTCTTAATTGGTCTCCTTGCATCAAGTCTTTTCCCACTTGTGAAACATAGGATAGAGTTCTGGGCCTGCGATCAGGAAGGCCCAAGTTCAAATCTGGCCTCAGATACCTACGAGCTATGTGATCATGGACAAGTCATCTAACCTGTCCACTTCGTTTTCCTCAACTGTAAAATGGGGATAAAATACCACCAACTTCTATAGTTGTTGTGAGGTTAAATGAGAAAATACGTGCACAGGGGCTGACATATAGTAGTTGTGTAATAAATGTTTATTTCCTTCTTTCCTTCCTTCCCACTCCAGTTCATCTTCAAATCAATCAGTAAGCATTTATTTAGGACCTACTATGTTCCAGGAAGGCAGCTAGGTGGCGCAGTAGATAGAGTGCTGGGCCTGAAGTCAGAAGACTCATTGTCCCGAGTTCAATCTGACCTCAGACACTTGCTACTGTGTGACCCTGGGCAAGTCACTTAACCCTGTTTGTCTCGGTTTCTTTATCTGTAAAATGAGCTGGAGAAGGAAATGGCAAGCCACTCCAATATCTTTGCCAAGAAAACCCCCAAATGGGGTCGTGGAGAGTTGGATACAACTGAAATGGCTAAATAACAACAATGTGTCAGGCATTATACTAAGCACTGGGGATACAAAAAGAGGCAGAAGACAGTCCCTTCCCTCAAGGAGCTCACAAAATTTAAAATATCTATCTTATCTATTCACTTTTTTGAACTTCAATGTAAAGACAAAAAAAGAGAACGTTTTCATGGACACAGCAAAAAGAGGATTCAATATAAAACCATGTGTTTCCATTTCACACTGTTTACTTTTTTAAAAAACTATGTAATAAATACTAGACATCATTTTCATCATTTATACTGTTTTTCTGTTCTTCTTTCCAAGTTTTCTTCTGTTCTCTGCTGTGTACTTATATTTTTTCCTCTCTCCCTCCCCATTCTACCCTAGAGAAGACTACTATTAGATATTAATGTATATGTAAAACCATTATATATGCATATATTTCTATTTATCAGTTCGTTCTTTGGATGTGGATAGCATCTTCCCTCATGGGTCCTTTGTAGTTTGAGAATTTATAATACTTAAAATAGCTTAGTCATTCAAAATGGTTCTTAGAATAACAATACGACGTACAACTTTCTCTTGGGTCTGTTCATTTCACTCTTCATTATTTCATGTAAGGCTTTCCATGTTTTTCTAAAATCAACCTGCTCATCATTTCTTATAGCACAGTAGTATTCCATCACAACACAGTCTAATGGAATCAATCTTTCACACTGCTGCCAAAGTGATTTTCCTTAAGGGCATATCTTGACAGTGACCATGACACTCCCCAATTTAATAAATTCCAGTGGCTTCCTATTGTTTTCAGTATAAAATATAAACTCTGGTTAGCTTTTACAACCTTTCACAACTTGGCCCCCCTTTCATTTTCCAGCCTCAATGTATATTATTCTCCTTGCTTTGTTCTGCCAGTTAGCCAAATTGGGCTTCTCTCTGATCCTTACCCATGATGTTCCATTTTCTGCTTTAAGCCACATGCCTGGAATGCCTTCCTTTCTTACTCCTCTGTTTTCATTTCCATTAAGATACAGCTGAAGAACCATCTTTTACATGAAGTCCACCAGTCCCATGTCCTATACTATCTCAATGATACTTATGAGGTCTGATTAACTTCCTTGAATTAAGAAGTAGATAGTCTATTTGGTTTAATGTCAAGACCGTTCATTTGTGTATGGTCCGTGGAGGCCTTAAATATTTTTATCGCCTTCCTTCTCAGATTATTGGGCTCCTTCGCTGCTCTTCTTCCTGTATCATACATAGTATAAGCTGGGATATCTATCTTGGAGGGCATATCTGATATGACTGGGAACTTACACATTAGTTTAATGCACTTTATCTGTAGCCAAGAGACTTTCATTTCTGTAGCCACAGGTCTGGTTTTGACATCCAAATTCTTATTCTAAGATACCATCTTTTCTTTTTCTTTAAGTAGTGTTTGCCTACTAACTACTAGGTGGCACAGTGGATACAGTGCTGGGCCTGGAGTCAGGAAAGACTCAAGTTCAAATCTGGCCTCTGATACTTACTAGCTGTGTGACCCTAGGGAAGTCACTTAATCTTTTTTGACTAAGTTTCCTCATCTGTAAAATGAGCTAGAGAAGGAAATGACAAACCACTCTAGTATCTTTGCCAAGAAAACCCCAAATGGGGTCATAAAGAGCTGGATATGACTGAAACAACAGTACAACAGTAACAATCATATGAAAACTTGCTCCAAATCACTAAAAATAAAAGAAATGCAAGTCAAGACAATCCTGTGTTTATCCCACACTCAGCAATTTGGCAAAGATGACAAAAGTTGGGAATGGTCAATGTTGAAAGAGTTATGGAAAGACAGGCACACTTCTGGTGAAGCTATAAATCAATCTGGAATTGGATTCATATTCTTTGACCCAAAATTCTGCTGCTATTCATATTCTTCTAGGAGATCAAAGAGAAAAAGAAAAATCCAATATATACCAAAATATTTAAAGCAGCACTTTTTTTATAGTAGAAAAGAATTAGAGGCAAAGTTGATGCCGATCAATTGGGGAATAGAGAACAAAGTGTGGTACATGAAATG